GATACTATGTGGAGACAGGGTCTTTACAGAGGTCGCTAAGCTGGGCTCTAATCCAACTGAAATAAAGTGGGCAGGTAGGTGAGTTTAGCAAGACGGGAGACCTGGACATAGATCCGCACATGGGAAGTCGCGCTGTGAAGATGACAACACAGGTCAGAGTGCTGCTTCTACAAGCCAAGGGTCGCCAGGCACTGCCAGCAACCCCAGCAGCTGGGGAGAGGCAGGGAACAGCTTCTCCCCTCCTGCTCTTCCCACACACCAACCCAGCCTTCATTTGGGCCTGCAGCCCCCAGAAGTATAGGATAACACACTTGTCGGGGCACACTGTTGTGGCAGCCCTGGCAAATTTGTCAATCCCCTGCAGGATGGTGCAGAAGGGTAGGGTGAGGAGAAATCCTCTCAAGGGCAGAACTCTGCATATCATCCACTTCATGTGGAAGGAGAGATGGCCCGAGGTTTGGCCCTACACCTAATCATAGGCAGTTGACTGATGGGGATTTATTTTGATGGATTGATAGGACACAACCAAAGATATACCCTGTTTGCTCTTGATTTCAAAATTCTCACTTTGTTACCTGGGGTTTTCAAGTCAGCTTACTGTGTTGATGTTTTTGTTTATTGACACAGGGTCTTGCTACGTAGCTCAGACTGGCCTTTTTTAAAAATTTATTTATTTTTGGCGGTACCAGGGATTGAACTCAAGACCTTGAACTTGCCAGGCAGGCTCTTACACCACTGATCTACATCCCTGGCCCCAGGCTGGACTTGAACTCACAGCTATCCTCCTACCTCAGCCTCTTCAGTGCTGCGATTGCACATGTGCCCCATATAGAGAGCCTTTCTCCCAGTCCTCATTTTGATCCAGGAAATTTATATTTGCAATCCCATGGGGAAGTCATTAGAATTCAAGCTAGTTAATTCCAGTCTACCACTTCCAGTGCAACCTACAGTGAGAATTGAAGACGCTAAGGTATATTTGTAGTGGTGGGGAGCCAAGGGGTCCGAAGTCCAGCTAGGACAATGACAAACCCCGAACAAAAGCTGTGACTCAGGACCAAACCTGGGTTTTATTAATTCAAGAAGAGGGGCCAGGGAGATGGCTCAGTAGAATAAGCACTTGCCTGGCAAGTGCAAGGGCCTGAGTTCAATCCCTGGCTCTGCCAAAAATGGAATGAGTAATCTGTGTAATACAGCTGAGGTAGGGGCTGGGGAGATGGCTCAATGAAATAAGCACTTCCCTGGCAAACGCAAGGACCTGAGTTCAATCGCTGGTTCCACCAAAAAAAAAGTAGTAAAAGCATTCATTTTACTGAAGAGTAAAGTATCCTTAAGATACCCAAATGAAAGAAAAATATATTTAAAGTGATAAGGTGGTTATTTGGAAAATTAGTTTTTATGCAACAGCCCCAAAAGCCTATCAAATGAGGCATAGCTTTTTATAGTTT